AAAAAAAAAAAAAAAAAAAAAAAAAAAAAAAAAAAACTCTGACTTATTCCCTTGAGATGTGGACCATTCACAGGACTCCAGACTCAGCAGCTGCTAGCCTTACAGTCCGTGAGGAAGTGATGTTCTGCAGGAAAATAGTAGATGGTCAGAAGGTAGTGAGTTATCTCCATTGATTGTTCACAGTGAGTTATGGATTGAATTCCTTGTTCTATTCTTCCCCCTCTTTTTACTACTGTACTTGTCTAGTCTTAAAAAAATAAAGAAAACAGTAGGGAGGGCTCAGATGAGAAATAAGGAGTGCTGGCTCAAGAGGCTTCTAGAAACTGAGTTCCCTTTGAAGGCAGCACTCTGGATGTGCAGGTATGTGAGCAAGATGCCTGTATTATTGGGGCTTTCTTGCTTCTGCCTGGTGAGTCTAGCTGGGGCTGGAGGCATTGACAGAGCCTATGGTATGCATGGTGTAGCCCCATTTTGGACTTGGAAGGAAGAAACAGAGCCAGTGATATGCCCAGGAGGTTTGCCTATTGAACCCAGAGAAGCTAGAAGACTTCATTTAGGGATATCTTACTCAAGGTTCGGCCTGCATAGATGGTCTCTGTTCCTAGCCTGATGGAGCTGTCCTCATCCTTAGGGGTCAAGTGGGTAAGTCTCAGTGGTAAGATCCTCATTGGTTAGCATCAACAAAATGGGACCGTGTCAGCCATAATCCCTTCCTCAGTGGTGCCTGGGTTCTCTGTCAGTGCTGGAGCACATCTGCCTGAAACCATCTTGCTGCAGGCTGGGCAGGGTGGCTCACACTTGTAATCCCAGCACTTTTGGAGGCCAAGATGGGCGGATCACCTGAGGTCAGGAGTTCAAGACCAGCCTAACCAATATGGAGAAACCCCATCTCTATTAAAAATACAAAGTTAAAGGCCGGGCGCGGTGGCTCAAGCCTGTAATCCCAGCACTTTGGGAGGCCGAGGCGGGTGGATCACGAGGTCAAGAGATCGAGACCATCCT